GGGTGGGAGATTCAAACACTAATCTTTTAGTTAAGTAATAAAACGTTACCTAAAAGTCAAACCAATCTGAAAATACTATTTTTGGTTTTAGATGGATAACTTTATCCAAAATCAAAATATAAAGTGACATTTTTTACGATACCCAACAAGGAAAAAAAAAATCGTTCATCATCCAATTCCGTAAACATCGTACGAAGAATTGGCAAATGTAAGATTTTCTGGACAAAACGCGAGAAAGATCGTCGAAATGCTCATCTTCTTTGCGAGGTTAGGAAAATTCAGAGCCATGAACAGTCCCTTCTCATCTCCTACCACTAATTTCCATTGCATTTTTGCATTTTCTGGGCTTCTTCCTTTTTCTATGGGCGAGAAACCAAATGGCTTGCTTTCATTTTCCAATCCAAGCTTCAAACTGATCGATTCCTCAGGTAACCGGTGGTTCAGAGTTCAATGCCTATGGAGGCAATGGCCGCGACGATATCTTGTGGGAATTTGAGCAGTACAACAATCCATCAGTGTAAATGGAAGCAGAGATTGAGACGGTCGTCTTATCCATACAGAACGGTCTTCTTCTCTAATTCCTTTCTGAGTGTTAATGGAAGGTTGTCCCGATCGTTGATTACGAGGGTCGCTGCGAATACTGACAATAAGGGTGAAAAGAAAGCTGCTGGTGAAGAGAAAGTGGATGAGATTGTGGATTCTAGTGAAGGGTTTCAACAGCCGCCGCCGCAGCCGAAAATTACGTTGGACGATGTGAATCCGGTGGGGTTGGGACGGAAGTCCCGCCAACTGTTCGATGAAATGTGGAGGAAGTTTTCTGGGTTGGGACAGATCTCGAGGACCACACGGATGGATGATAAGGAAGCTCTTGATGCTCTGCTTATTAGGGAAGGGCCTATGTGTGAGTTTGCTATCCCTGGGGCTCAAAATACCACTGTGCTTGTTGTTGGTGCCACTAGCCGCATTGGCCGCATTGTTGTTCGTAAGCTTATGCTCAGAGGCTACACTGTCAAGGTTTTACTTATTTTGTTCTTGTCTGATGAAATCATGTTTGTAGATGTTATATTCATTGAGCCATCGATTTATCCTTATGCCAAGCAGGCTTTAGTGAGGAAGGCAGATGATGATATCGTGGATGTGCTTCCACGGTCGGTGGAAATAGTGATTGGAGATGTTGTGATGTTAATACCCTTAAGGCTGCTGTGGAAGGATGCAATAAAATCATCTATTGTGCAACTGCTCGTTCCACCATTACTGCTGATCTCTTCAGGGTTGATCATCAAGGAGTTTACAATATCACCAAAGCATTTCAGGTCTGTCTTTCTGCATTCATAAATTATAATCACCGAGCACTTTATTTGTAATAGCCCAAGTCCACTGCTAGCAGATATGTCTTGTTTGGCTTTCGAACTTTCCCTCGAGGTTTCGTTCTCCTTCCCAACCGATGTGGGATCTCACAATCCACCCCTTTCGGGGTCCAGTATCCTTACTAGCACTCATTCCTTTCTCTAATCAATGTGGGTCTCCCCAATCCACCCCTTCAGGACCTAGCGTCCTTGCTGGCACACCACCTCGTGTCTACCCTCCTTCGGGGCTCAGCCTCCTTGCTGGCATATCGCTCGATGTCTGGCTCTAATACCATTTGTGCCCAAGCCTACTGCTAATAGATATTGTCCTCTTTGGGTTTTCCTTCAAGATTTTAAAACGCGTCTACTAGCAAGAGGTTTACACACCCTTATAAAGAAAGTTTTGTTCTCCTCTCCAACCGATGTGGGATCTTACAATCCACCCCCTTTGGGGCCAGTGTTCTTGCTGGCACTCGTTCCTCTCTTCAATCGACGTGGGATCTCACAGTAATGGAATGGAATGGACTGTTGGTTGCATTTTCACTGAAATTTTAAGCATTATATATTGGCTCCTCTATTTCTTTTAAATGTCATAGTTGCCCATTCATCTATTCTCACAATAGATCATTCATGCAAACCCAATTCCCACGAAAGTGCTTGGCAAAAAGCTGATACCTGATATAAATTGCAGGACTATAATAATAAGCTAGCCCAACTTCGAGCTGGAAAAAGCAGCAAAAGTAAGCTTCTGCTTGCGAAGTTCAAATCTGAAGAATCGCTGAATGGCTGGGAAGTCCGCCAAGGAACTTACTACCAGGATGTTGTTGCTGCGAAGTATGATGGAGGCATGGATGCAAAATTTGAATATACTGAAACTGGAGAGGCTGTCTTCTCTGGTAAAACTCATTTATACTGAACAAATCATACAAAATGGCTGGTTCCTGGAATTTTTCTCCACTTAGTGATAAATTTAAGACCAATGGGGCTGCGTTGAACCAAAATAGTGATACAATAATATATATACATATGAATCAGCATATAATGTTTTTGTCATTCATTGTAGGCTACGTTTTTACAAGGGGAGGGTATGTTGAGTTATCAACAAAGCTTTCCTTACCATTGGGATCCAATCTTGACAGGTTCCTGATTTACTTAACTATCATTATCAATTTTGGTCAAGAGTTCTTCATTTTAATAAAGCTTTTGATTGTAAATACCTTTCTTTCTTCTATGCTTGATCTCTAGATATGAGGGGCTCATTCTTTCAGTAGGTGGGAATGGTAGATCCTATGTGTTAATTCTTGAAGCTGGTCCTTCAGCTGATACAACTCAAAGTAAACTATATTTCTCAAGATTTAGCACAAAAGCTGGATTTTGTAGGTTAAGAATCCCTTAACAAAAGTATTGTAATATCATACAGATGCAAACATCTTGAACAAATTCAAATTTGTTAATATCGCCATGTTCGAAACAGTTTACAAGATTGTATCAATGATTGACAGGTTAGAATACCTTTCTCATCGTTCCGCCCTGTAAAACCAGATGATCCTCCTCTTGATCCATTTCTTGTGCATACATTGACCATTCGTTTCGAGCCCAGGAGACAGGTTGGTGCGTCAACTCTGTAAGAGATGATCAAGTAAAGCAACTTTATTATACAGGATGCATGATAAAGGCCATAAAGTGACCTGAACTTATATCAATTTTTGTAGAAAAAATGTTTCCTGTGGCTACTAACTCTACGTTTCTTTTTGCAGAGAGCTGTTGAAGGGCCTGCAGCAGGCGTAAAGCAGCAAGATTTGAGAAGCTTTTAACTAATACTGGAGTACATAAAAGCCTTGCCTGTGAGATATTTTAGGTGCTTCTACGTTTTCCATTTTGATGGGCATCATTTGAGGAATGTTATATCAGATGTAGTCTGCTCTGACTTCAGTTTAGCAAATTCCTTGATCATTAGTACATGATAAAGTTACCGCATGTTTGATCACATTGTCGTTTTTCTTAATTAAACATGTTTTCTTACCATTTATTTATTTTGTTCTTCATCTTCTTTAAGAGAAGTTTGGAGTTCATAATCAAATTGCAAAAGAAAATTAGATTTTTTGAAAGCCACAGTATTGTTTGATAACATTTTTGTTCTGGTAGATGTGTAACTACAACATGGGCATGATTTGTACTATGTATCCTATGAGATCCCACATCGTTTAGAGGCGAAACATTGTATATTAGGGTGTAGAAACCTCTCTCTAACAGACGGATTTTAAAACTATGAGGCTGACGGCAATAAGTAATAGGCTAAAGTAGACAATATCTGTTAGCTGTGCATTTGGGCGGTTACAAATGCTATCAGACCTAGGCACCAAGCAGTGTGCCAGCGAGGACGTTGGGACCCCAAAGAGGTGGATTATGAGATCTCACATCGGTTGGAGGGGAGAACGAAATGTGAGCAGTTTTCCAAGTTTCTTGTTCCTTGTTCTTCAGAAATGTAACAAAAAATTTGTTGTTGCAGGAAGAACCTGGCGGCGAAAGTGCCCTCATATTCGACCAGGGAAACAGGATAACTCAGGTAAGAAAAATGGTCTTTTTTACTCAACATAGACGATCAAACTCAGGCTGATGTTGCTGATATCTGTGTAAAAGCGTTGCATGATTCTACTGCAAGAAACAAGAGCTTTGACGTGAGTAGAAACTTTACTTTCACGAGCATTACTGTTCTTTCTCATGACCAGCAAAGTTAAGTCGTACTGTTTCCAGGTTTGCTATGAATATATTGCCGAGCAAGGAAGAGAACTCTATGAGCTGGTAAGAAACCAAGAATCTTTTTCCGTGTCCAACTTTTAACCAGTTTCATTTCTTATGCTTGATGCTTCGTTTTTCATATAAAGTCCCGGTTGTCACAGATAATCAGAACTTATTAATCATGTCACAATCGAACATTTAAATATGTTTACTTAAACCAAATTGGAAGAGTTTGTTGGAAGTCGAAAACTACTTCGTACCCAACTTATTGGTCTATTAAGAACGTTACCCTTCAACCACCTTGGGTTGGTCCAATGGTCAATAAGGGATAAGCCATGGTGGCCACCTACTTAGGGTAGTTACCTAGACAACCAAATATAGTAAGATCAGGTGGTTGATCAGTGGGAACAGTCGGGGTATAGGACAAGCTGGCCCAAACACTTGTGGATATAACAGGAAGACAAAATGTCGTGGTGGTGAGTTTGCTAGTCGTCTTCAAGGTCTCATGCTTTTATGTGTTTGTTTGTAGGTAGCTCACTTGCCAGACGGCCAACAACTACCTGACCCCAGCCTTGTCTGTTCTGGAAAAGAATACATGATATAGTATCACAGGCCTCTTCTCATCACCTCCAAAGTTCGTATTCATCAACAACGAATACTACATCTCTTGAAAGTTGCCTCTAAAATCATATTTCTACACAGTATATACAAAACATGTACAAATTCATTCCCTGTTTGGCAATAGTTCTTTTCTATATAGGAAATCAAACTTTGATGCATAAAATTGAGTTTTTTCTTCAAAATATTTTCTATGGATTGAATAGTTGGATGAGTACACTTCCATAAGATGATAATAGTGGGATCAAAAGGAAGATTGAACATTGAAATCGGAGATTGACTAAACTAGCCAGATGTGAGAAATGAAATGGATGACTACTTATAGACATTGATATCATTACTTTCTGTACAACTTTTCACATAATAATTGTTCTCAAAAGTGACAATAATAAATAAAATAAATAAATAAATAAAAGAAGTCCAGTCCCCAGCACCACAAATGAAGGAATAGAAACACCTACTTGGTCTTAGCTTCCTCTTTGGCCCCCTATAGCTTAGCATCTGACTTGTTGAACTGTTACAAAAACACATATATGAAGAAAGTATTCAGGATTCATTAAGTTGTTCACCACCCAGGAGAAAGGAATTTCGCATTTTGGTTCAATCCCTTGGATCCTAACAAGCTTGATGCTTGGATGATAAGATTGAAAATGTTCATCACAAAAATTTGGTCCCCTCTCTTCAGTTTTTTTACAATCCACCTGTTCTGTACAATCACTTCGTTCTTCTTCACCTATAATAGTTGTTGATTCCTCCTTGGTAGTTGCCTTCTCGAGGAAAAGCTCGGATAACAGACTCCTAATAGCATCATGTAAGGTGAGGCACTTACCTGCAATGTATAGAGATGAGGACGAGAATCTCTGCATATGCCGAAGACTTTGACTACTAAATGAAATTGCTACATAACGATACAATACAAGTTGACGCTTCAATGTGTTCTTTTCCCCCTTTCAGTTCAACAACATACGAGGGTGGGGATTTATTATGTGGACCTTTTTTGTGGAAGATATAGACCTTAAATCAATTGAGCTATATTCAAGTTGACAATTAAAAAAAAGCACCAGACAAGTTATGATTCATCGTGAAAAATCAGTCCTCCCTGTTCATAAATTAGCTTCTATCTTTCTGTTATCATTCTTTGATCGATTGGACAACATAAATCTGGCTACTCAATAACACAGTACTCATAAAATAGGCTTTTCCAAAAGAATAAGAAAACTAAAAACAAAGAGAATGATAGCGTTGCCTTACATTCTTCATGAATCTCTACTGGACGGTTAATGTATGAGACATCATCCCAATTATTAACTGGTGGTGCATCTTCTAAATTATCAAAATCTTCACCTACATTCCTCACATACAATCGAACGGGAATTCGACCTGGACATGCTTAAATAATAAGAAACTTGTCCTAACAAGTGAAACGATAACATAAAGCGGGGTAAATGAATATTAGCCTTGAAGGAAGAGAGTAACAGATGTAAGTGCAAACTTAAAAAAAACACACACACACACGGTACCCTCATGTAAAGTTCGATGGAAATCCAATATCTTGCAACACAATACTTGCTTTCCTTGGCATACAGAAGCATTAATAGACATTCTTTTGCTTCTAATAAAGATTACCCAGAAAGTAGAATGATAAAACACTACTAGTTTGATTTAAAGAGGTTTCTCCTTCCACAAGATGGCCCATAAACCCCAATAAACCGCCAAAAGAATCCATCGGAAATAGAAACAAGGATGGAAAGAGGAAGCCTACCTAAAGCACCTCAATAATCTCAACAAGGACATCCTTCGAAAGAACGAGAATACAATCAGGGGAGACATCCACATCTAAAGATGCCCTAGATTTGACAAAGTTTCTATTCAGCATCCGTGATTTCGTTTCTATGGGAATCACAAAGTCTGGTTTAGTGGACAATGGTTCTTTTAGCGCAAGAACCAAAACCTCTCACATTTGAAGTCAAAACAACAATTTGGAACAACTCTCCCTCTCCAAGAGAAAATATATGCCGTCAAAAACTTCACTTGATGGTGAATTCTTTTAAAAGGATAGATGAAGAGACAAATGATTAGGAATAATGGTTACATCTTGGAATTATTGTCTACCGAATGGTTACAATGGTTACGTTTTGTAATTATTGTCTACATTTGGTATAAATGTGGCTACCCAAGGATCACTGCCATTGGAAAGAAGTTGGAAAGGGTCTACAGAATAAAACTCCAATATGCAAATTAGATACAGAGGACAAAGAATCTTTTAGCAGAAGCACAAAGAAACCAAAGGGCAATATAGTCCCAAACCTATAAAATTCCTCTTCTTTACTCCCAAACTTTCTCTAATTTCCAGCTTTCATATCTCCAAACAGAAACTACAAGGTAAATGCAGACAAAACCTCTCAAAATCCCTCCACATTTATCTCCATTCCCCAAAAGGTACATCCAACTGCATGATTTGGAGACCTAATCCTAGGTAGTACCCACATACAGAATGGCATTACTACAAGTACACAAAAATCTTGCTATACCTCAATGTAACCCAACAAGGCATGAAGCAGAAAGTAAAGTAATGAATAGAAAGGTCATAAAATATACAGTAAGGAGACGAAAATTGGGAGGGAGGGGAAGGAACTAGAAGAGGAGACCCCAGGTATGAAGCAGAAAGGTAAGGAATAGAAAGTTCATAAAGATGGGAGGGAGGGAGAAAGAACCAGAAGAGTAGAACCCTCTTTCATGACCTCTATTCCAAGAGTTGATTCTACACTCTGCCGACCCAAAACATTTTTGGTGGAAAAATTCAGTATTAACAATCTTTATCATCGAACTTTTGCTTGATAAATTGTACTTCAAACTGAAATGCCTATAAGTGGTTGTCATACCTGTCATTACTTTTCCTGCTATATCCATCTCACTAGTACTTTGACCAGGCAATGATGAAGTTGTTATAGAATTCAACACTTGCTCGTGGTCAGTTCCTCCAAGCTTAAGTTTAGATGATATACGTAGGTAGGCTTCCAAGTCACCTGCTAGTAGCCAATGATCAAGCCGAACAAATTAGAGAACAAACACATTATAAAGTCCATTGGATTTCCTTTATATTTTTCATAAATCTTAGTCGTATTAGTTATATAATTTATACTACCTTATCTTTTTTGTATTTTTTCTTAAATATAGAGAGTGTTTCTCCAAATTTCCACATAATTTATGTTCCTGCCTTTAGAATAGAAATATGAAAGCTTTTTATACAAATACATGAAGAGACATATAAAGAGGGAGAGCCCTTCTAACCAATTGAGCTTGCCAAGAATATTACTATTGGAGTAAATAATGAAAAGAGGAATTATTACAAAAGTTCATCAAAATGGTGCTGTCGTTTGGCTGATTAGGAAGGAAACGTACAACACACTACTTCTTGGTAGTGATCTAACCACAAAAAACTATTATGTAACTACACATTTTTATGATTATCAACAATTAAAAGGCTCCCCTTTTATAGTTTCAAGTAGGGCTTTTCTCTATCCCTGGCTCCTAGGCTGTATATTACACAGTTCCATTAGAAAACAGAGCTCTAATTGGAGGCTGCAAAAGTAACTATATCACCAAAATGATTGAAGTTCAAAATCACAAAATAATATTGCAATATTAACTTAGATTGAAGTGCAAAATTATGGAAAGTAAAGTAAAATGCCATCAAGGAATCAGCATTTCACTTGAGAAACTACTGATTTAATTTCTAAAACAAAGGTTCTTATGGCTTGCTAGTATACCATTCAATACAGAACGCCATAACTCCACCAGATCAGGTTGAGACATGCTCATGACATTCTTGGTGTTCCCATTGACAATGTAATCGGCCTGGTTATAATGAACATCCCTTAATCAACTTGTAGAAAATCACTCTCACCAAATATCATAAATTACCAAGAGTGTCAACTTAAAATTACACAACAAGACATCAATCATATTAATAACAATGATAACAAATTAATAATAATAATAAAATCTTCGAAGTGACTAGCAGATGTTTTTATGGTCTTTGGAAGTTTGTTTGCCAGACAGTCGTTCCTGCTAGTTTTATTGACTTAATTCGGGTCCTTTCATAGACTCGCTGTTTCAAGATTTTGGAGGAGATGACTCATCTCTTCTTTCTTTTTGTATCTTCCCATTTTTTGATATGATACAGTAAGTGTCTCTCATCAAATATAACAACATTAAAAATAGTAAATAGGAAAAATTAGAAATATAAAGAAGAAATTGTAATTTGGTGAATTGGGCTCCTTATTAGGTCCTCCTTTTGAGGTTTCAGGAGGAGATGCTTTATCCCCTGTTGTTTTTGTGCATCTTTCCTTTTTTAATATGATGCACCATGTGTCTCTTATGGGGAAAAACAATAAAAATAACAAGCATCAATAAAATAAAATAAAAAGTCATTAAGGAAAACTATAAATAAAAAGGATAAAGCATTTCGAGTGAAAATTGTAATCTTTTTATTTTTCCTTATTGACGGTTGACTTCCATTTTTCTCTTTTTTTGTTCTTCTCTCATTATTACGACAACATATTTAAATCAAATTTCAATGAGAGAGGCGTGGCAGATGAAACCATGAATAAATTTTTTTGTCTTATTCCAAAAAAGTTTGGGGGCGCAAAAATTAAGAATTCTATACTGGTCATTAGTAAAAAAGGTGCTTGCTAGTTCCATCTCCTCTTCACGAGGGATACCTGTGAGTGGAAAACAAATAATTGTATTGGATTCTGATAGCAAATCAGGTACCAAAAGAATATCTGATTAAGGAACGCATAATCATCAAGGTATAATACTTTGAGAAAAGGCTTATAATCACATGATTTCGTGTTTTTGTATGAGAATGTGTCCAAACGGGTTTTGGCTTTAAATGGAAAATGTGTTAACGGAATTGCCTTCAGTCAACTAATTTCTCTAATGTGAACAATGGCCGACCAAGAGGACATTTTTGCCACCGGGAAATTAGACAGAGTCAACACTCAACACCTTTGCCCTTCCTCTTTATTAGTGTGGCAGATGTCCTAAGTTGGCTAATGATGAAAGGGATAGAGAGGTGTGCTATAATCCGACAGGCAGCTCATTGACACTGATTGGTGCTTTCCCCCTCCCCAATGTGGTTTGAGACCCACTCTATCCCTATATTGTACTTGAGAAAAAGAAAAAAAAAAGGTTCCTTGGTCAATTAGAAGTTAGAAATAAAAAAGAACTCAAAGATTATTTACAGGGTGGAAAGTTTTAAGGCCTTATTTAACGTTTTAAAAGTTTAGGAATCCATTAGACATAAAATTGAAAGTTTATTTTCTTCATCCTTTTGGTGCCTTAAAACAAAGTTGTGTGTAGTATTCTTCTTGAAGAGATTGTAACGATTAAGACAAGATTTAAAGAAAGTATTACCAACCTCTTTTAATGAGTTAATAAAGCTCCACTTTATACTATCTTCACCTTCACAAGGAATTAACAGTTGTCTTGGATAACCTCTAAAATGTACCTGTTAAAAAGAGAGAGATGGCTGTCACTTCACATTTGACACAAAATATGAGAAAGTAAAGGCAATACCTAATTTCAAACTGTTCTAGCTTTAGCTAACATAACCAAATAACCAAATTCGTTTTACAGAATGGATATTGCATTTACACTCCTAGGTAAAAACAGAGCATTTGGTATCAGGGAATGGGAACGTGATAGTCTAGAAGTAGGAACCACGGGATTTGGAAACCAAAGCATAAAAAATGCGAAATTGCTGTTTGATTTGTACGGTGAAGTATCTGTCTTTAAGGGAAAGAGCAACAACCACTAGGCTAAGAGAGCTAAGTTCTTACTCATTACTGAAGTGCATTAACCATGGGAATTGCTAATTAATCCTTTTTCCGAAGGTTAAGAACATTGAAAAAAATTAACAGTGTGGATATACAGACGTACTTATTCTGGATGCTGACCAAAAATCACCTTCGACTTTTCGCTTCGCATACATTCATACTCCTAAAGGCTGGGAAGTAAAACTTATGCTGGATTCCATGAAACTTTATTGAAATGTTTAACTTTGAATTGAGTTATAATCTGAAAAAAGAAATTTAAACAGAAACTTTGGAGTAGCTGAAATTCCGTTCCTACAAAAAGTTCAACCAGCAGTGATGCACCACCAATGCTAAATTCAACATTAACGCACCTAAGGTTCTCATACTGTGGAATGCAAGTGCAGTCACAACAAGACCCAGATATATATTAATTCTCATGTGCAACCAACGCGAGGTCAGAACTTTTCCATTTGATAAAATTTTGGTAAAATAAAATTGTACTTTTAAACTTTGGTGGTTGTATCAATTAAAATCTCAAATTAATATCATATCAATTAAAACTCTAAACTTAGTAAGGAGATCAATTTAGACCCTCCATTAGGATTCAAATTTCGAACTATTAATACATAACTCTCACATGTGCATAAGACTTCTTTAAATGCAGTGATTAACAAAATATTAGAAAGAATGCTAAAATCAAATGAATGGTAGTTGTTTTCATTAATATGAGTAGTTTATCATATTTTCTTTTTCCTCAATTTTTATACCTATTTGAAAAGAACTATGGGATAAATTTTTCTTATTACTTTTGGTAGGATTTTGAGAGAATCATATTTTTATTTAGGTGATTTTGAATTCATTTTAAATAGAATAAAGTGAAAAAGTTAAAAACCACTAATGGAGGGTTTGAATTGATTTACTTTTGAAAGTTTAGGATTTAAATTGATTCAATTATTAGTTTGTAGTTTTAATTGATATAACCCAAAGTAGGTTTAGGAGTATAAATGATTTTTTTCCTAAATTTAAAGGAAAATGGGTGTCAGATACAATAAAAATATAGCAGCTTGAACTATAAAGATAAAGAGATAGAATTTGAACCGTTAGATTCCACGGTCTTTCTGGTTCTGCACATAGAAGGTCAAACAGTACACCAGTCGGTATATGCCTGAGAAGAATGCACCAGATTCTATCATGAGCAACACAATCTTTTGCCAGGACTGTTAATTCTGAATAAATTAGTAAAACTATAATCTTCTAAAAGGCGAAATCCTGACATACTAAATGACTATGGAAATATTGTTGTCAAACTAAACTGACAATTAAGTCAAAGAAATTAGCCAAGAATCCACTTGCGCAATCTCATTTTATTATTTTCTATTGCCAGCTTAAACACTCTTGTTCTTCCAGTTACAGCCCTGTGCAGTTATAGACCATTTGAAACAAATATCTATAAAATCATCTCATAACTTCTATTTCTCCACAAAAAAAAACAATAAATATAATAATTAAAGCAGCCAAAAGGTATTAAGAGTTACTACCTTCTTTTTTCTTTCCATTAGACAGATTTGACTTGAGATAAATAAATAAATTTTCAGGAGAGGAAAGATTCAAAGATACTTTCTGAAATCTTGGGAGCTTATTTACTTTAGCGCCTCTAATTGGAGTGTTCCTTATAGAAGTTGTTGTAACGACTTTTCGCCATTTTTTTATGTCAATTCAAAAGTGTCGGTCTATTGGCATACCATTATACTCACGAAAAAAATGCTCACTTTCAAAAAAAAAACATTAAAAGCTAAATTTGAGCCTTCTCCTAGCAACTAGTCACCGAATGACACCAAGCACTCCAAAGTCCTTTGGAAGAATATTTGGAAAGCCAAAAAAGCTAATCTCTTACTGAGTTTCCCATTCTTTTGACAATGGTATTAAACCATTGCCTTGACCACATCAAGAAGATCCAAGATTGCAAGGAGCTGGCTCAAAAGTTGGAAACCACTTATTAAGCTCAATATGCCATCGCAAAAGAAAGCCCACAAAAAACCTCTGAGGAGCAAACCTGATGCCCTACGCTAGTCAACCATAAGTTCATCCACATGCCCACACCATTGGTGTCAAACAATCTATTTGTGCTCCCACCATGCACCCGTGGTCTCCACAGCCCATCAGTGTTTTCCTCACACAACCCATCATTGTGCATCCATAAAGGAAGCCCATGCCCACGTAGGCCTATCAGCACAAGCCAGCATGCACTCACGGCCATACGCCCTTTGTCTAGACCCTGCCTTGCAACAACTTGTGTCTTTGCATGCTGCCTTAATGCCCTAGGCATGTTGCCCGACACCCATGTGATCAACAATGACCTAGATGCACACCCACCAGCTGCTTGTCGTGCACCACTCTTACGCCCATGTATCTTGTCTTGTTGCCAACCTTCTCTCCTTCCTGAAGAATTTTGCTTCTTTCAATTTTTGCAATTTTAACTCGATGTATGATTCTTAGGAATGAATGTTAGATGGATCAATTGTCAATTATCTTACAATTCCCATTTTTAGAATAATTTTTTAATTATCCCTTTATTATTTAGGATTTTCAAGCTCTAGTCTTTAGATTCTCCATTTTTCTCACCCTTGGTTATATAAACCCAAGGAATGTCATGTTCTTCTTAGACATTGATGATGACCGATATTTGATTACTTTTCTTGACACAACAGAGTGTCAGTTCCCTTTGCAAGCCTAGTGTTAAGATTGCATATCTTCAAACATTCAAGTTTGGTTACCAAACTTGTGAAGTGTTTGAAACCTGAGATAAGAACGAATTCTCAAATCTTTTCATCATAAACCATAAAGTAATATGTTTCTAACATTTTCGTAGGTATTTTTTTTTTGTATTGATACGAAAATGTTGAGGTTCATGGTTGGGATGTTTCCTACACCAAAGCTCTTAGTGTTGTTGTATCAAGACCCTTGGAGAGGTAAAACCTCCCTTGCTTCCTCTACCCACAACTTTATTCCCCTTGTGTTGATTCAAATACGATAGTTGCCCAAATTTAGTCAATGAACTTTTGATTTGGAATTTGCTCACAAGAAATTCTAATGGCAAGGACTTTGCAGATGGACTCTCTCCCTCGTGACATATTTAAGGTTGATCCTCCTCGAGTTCCCCAGATTAATGGTCTTGAAATTTTTACCTTTCAGGATATTCAATGTGCAAGTCTCTTCCCAAAGACCTAACATCGATAGGAAACTATTCAATTCTAATTTTTGCAAGGCAATTTGGTGATCTTCATTAAGGAAATTGCTCTTAAGTCTAAACAACAGCAACACCGTGACAAAATTCAGAGGAGGAATCTGCATCCAGCTCTCTCCCCTAATTGGTTTGGTCTTTGCAAAAGGACCTCAAAACAGCAACACCACATTTTTGTTCATTGCCAATTCGTCACCACCATGTGGAATCCTATTACAACCTACTTTTGCTATGCCCATCCATAAGATAAAGACATTAGTTCCAATCTCACTCCCTCCTTTTTAGTTCAACAAAATGCAGGATGGAGAGATTTAAACATCTAACCTCTTGGTCGAAGGCATATACCTTAACCAGTTGAGCTATAGTCATGTTAAGCCTCACTCCCTCCTACAAACCGTCCTCCAAGGAATAGGTTAACTTTCTATGGATCAGTTTCATCACAAGTTTCTAATGGAATCTTTGGTTAGAAAGGAATCATCGTGTTTTTGGTGTTTGGGGGGAAAACTTCCCCCTTTCTTGGGGATCACGTCCTTTAGACAGTGACTTGATGGTGTAGACTTAACAAAACTTTTAGTAATCATGCTTTAACAGATATAACAAACCTTAGTCTTGGTGAAGGCTATCTTTCCCTCTCATTTCTTTTGCTTTACCTACGAAATTGTTTCCCTTCAACCATTTTCTTTTATCATGAATGTCTATCATCTTCTTCCATTCTAAATCACTAGGTTGAGATGAATATCTTATCCTATTTCTTCTTTCTATAGTCTTCAATATTAACGGAAGTTCTTCCTACTAAAACATAGTACATATTATTAATTTAACACGTTTCAATTTTCAGCTTTCCTCTCCGTGTACCTTGTGAGCCATACGCAATAAGAGAGACAGATTTTTATCAAAAGCGAAAAAGTAGCAAGAACAGTTATACAAGACAGCCAGAAGTACAACTCCAAGAGACATAGAATGACGGAGAAGAGCGGTGTCGTAGTGACAAAAACAGAGAATAGTAGTATATTATTAAAGAAAATTCAAAGTGATCTACAAAATTCGAAGAAACTATTAACAAAGATGAAATTTAAAAGAGAAAAGAAGAGCGTACCATTTAAGGGGCAAACCCTTGTACTCAAACCAAATGGTGTCCACTCCAGGAGGAAGCGTACTACTGAAGTAAGGTTTAATCTGAGAAGCCAACAGAGGCAAGTAGCCAATCCGAGGAGCCAAGACCTAGAGTAGATCAAAATACAAATTCCACATGGAAAGCAATTCGATTCAGTTCAATCAAAGATCGATGTACTTGGGGTACAGTAGACACAAAAAACCATCCCTTATTCAAAACTTCAAATTGAAAAACACAAGAAGCAGGAAATACAAACAACCCTTGTAAAGAAAAAAAGTCAAATTTCTCAGAGGAAAAGAGATAAATAAACAGAATGAGGCCATGATAGTCATCTGCTGATCAAATTGAGAGCCTGAAATTTGATGGTTAGAAAAGGGAAAGTGCAGCAGCGAAGGGAGGAAACAGAGAAAATACCATTGCAGGCGGTGGAGAAGGGATGGTGGTGACTTCAGACTCATGGAGATGAATCTGTAATGGAATTGCACCTTCCCAGATGTATCTCAGTGCTTCCATGCCCCCTCTCTCTGTCTCTCTCTCCCTCCCTTCTGCTTCTTCTTCTTCTTCTTCTTCTCTCACTCTATTCTGCTCGTCAATACAGCTTTTTGGTCATTTGCTTCGATTTTTTTTTTTTTTTTTTTTTTCGTTGCTTTCCTGAAATGCCTACCTCCTTCATGATTCGTTTACAAGATTTCATTTCTCAAATTTAAAATATTTAAAATTTAAAAAAATAATAATAATAACCTTTAATTTTGTGTTTTTCTAATACCAATTTAATTTGTGTATTCTCTTCGAAAACATTTTTTTTTTTTTGTCACAAATTTTGTGTTAAAACAAACTGTGAATTTATGAACTAATTTGGTTAAAATTATTAAAAAAAAAAATGTTTTTGATGCAATTATATATATAATCCAATAACTCTTAACAAAACAATTTTTTTTACTTTTTTTGGTAATATAATATAAATCTTAATTCAATATTTCTTTAAATTTTTAATTTTTTTAAAAAATAATTAGCATATAATTTGAATTTAATATGTAGCAGAAGTTTAAGTTTTTAATTTTATATGCGATAAATCTGCCTATTTTAAATAATTTATAATTTTAAAAATTTATGGATAAAATAGATAACAATGTTAAAAGATTAAATTTATAATTTAACGAAATAAATAAATAAAAAGAATAAAAAAGAATTAAAAAATCTAAGATTTGAATTTAAATAAAATTTTAGAGGGTAAATAGACAGCCAGAAGACAAATTTGATGTGTTAAATGCAATATTGTGAATTTATTTTAGAATTAAATAAAAATAAAAATAGAAGCTGTTGCCGTTTGAAAATCAAAATTTTAGGCATTTTTATTTTAATTTTTTCCTAACCATTTTTTAAAAATGATTTCTATTGAATTTCATGACATAAACCACTATTAATTAGAATTATGGAGTAACTAAAACAAATCCCAAAATTAAATTAAATTAAATTTCCATGAGTAAGAAAATATCATATTTTTAGGTGTAAGCTTATTTGGGCTTAACTTAATTTTTTATAATGGGCTTAGATTATTTAGCCTTGATCCGGTCCATTTTTAGCAAGTTTGAGATAAACTAGATTTGATTAGGTTGGATCGCAACTCTTTTCGATTCATTCGGTCAACTAACTCGATGAATTTGAAATTTTAGATGGATCCAAAAATTTCTCGAACTCAATTCTACTTAACCTAATATCGACGAATACGAAAGTAAAAGAAATGAAAAATCGTATGTTAGGAATTACGGTTCTTTACAATTGTATGATATTATTCACTAAGCTCTCGTCGTTTTTCTTTGGGCTTCCCAAAAGGCCTGAGATAGTATTTCTCACTTATAAACTCACGGTCTTCACTAAATTATCTAGATGAGACTCACCTCCAATAATCCTCCACATATAATACTTAAAAACTCGAGGAGGCATCCACCAACTTTATAGATAAAAACATATTAAATTCATATACATGAGTAGAGATTACTTTATTGTGGGGGCTAAACCAGAAAGGGAAGCATATTTGCAAAAATTCGTGACTCAAATTATGATTACAAATCCTTATAATATCTACCACAGATCCGCTGCAACTCAACTGTAAGTGCTAAGTAACTGATTAAATAAACATTTTTTTAAAAAAAGGTGGCGGTGGTGGGGGTAATGGTGGTGGTGGTGGTGGTGGTGGAGGAGGAGGAGGGGACCAGAGCAGCAACATGGTACTCGCCGGTGGCTCTCTGCATGACGGACCTGTCCTGTCTTGGATGCTGTGCTGAGCGGCGCAAAGCCAAAGCTGTCGGAAACTGCCATGGCTGTCACTAAACTGTACTCTCTATTATATGCTTATCTAAATCACTTTCTTTTGGCAGCTGTGGGAGAGCGATGGAAGGGGAAGATTGGATTTTTGCTTTCTCATATTTTGAATAAGCTTCATACCTTACTCCTTACGACCGGTCATATGACTCGAAAATCTAGATCAATTTAGATTGGGTTAGATTTATTTTATTCCATTTGGGTTAAGTTAAATTTTTGAAAAATAGAAAATTTTTAATCACTAACTCAAAAATAGAGTTGCAATTCAATTGAACATAGTCAATAGTAATGATACTGAAAATACTGAGTTGGGTTGGATGGTAAACTCTAATTAGATGGTTCTTGTCACTAATCCAACAAACTCAAAATTTCGAGTTTATCCATAAGATTTTTCCAACCCCATCTACCCCGTGTACGTCTCTAACAAGAGTTAAAAAACAAATTAACTGGATCAATGAGAAGATCTAGATAGTTCATAGTCACACTGTTCAAAGTTTTGATCTTAGTTCAAAATTTTAAAGAATTTCATGAACGAGCATAAATAATATACAGACTTTTAAAAGAATAAAGTAGACGAGTAAGTGTACTATTGTAATAAAAGTAATATCTCGAGTACTCTCGAGAAAGGCAACACTGTTTGATTGAGGTAAGGCGTTTTCACACTTTTGTTTGATATCCAATGGATCAATAAAATAAGCTCAAACTCACGTGGAAGATTATGATACGTGAAAATCGAAGTTAGGATTCAGTTGGGAGTGTTGGCCTAACTTCAAAATATTATATTGTATTATATATTTATATAACCAATGAAAGGTTCAATTTTTTCTTTTTTGTTTGTATGGGTTCTACAAAACAAAAGGAGGAATCCTCTTTAAACATGTGCTTAGGCCTTCTAGTGCCTACTTAATAGCCTTGCCTTTATAGCCTATTTTCCTTTTAAAATATGAACCCAACTCAACTTCCTCTTCCATCCCCAACCGGACTTTTCCGTTACGATGCTCGCACCTATCTTTCGTTACGTGGAACATTGAGGTTGGACGATTGAGTTAGACGATAGAAAAGGAGTGAAACCCGGCTTCTACGACATGTATTTTTCTTACCTCTTTGGTTGATAGTCTTGCCTTTATAGCCTATTTTGGCTTTACCATATGGAGGGAAGTTCCTATTCCATCCACAACAATACGTCCAAGTTGAGATCACCGCACCTATCTTTTGCAAGCTCCTCTAACCACGAAGTCAAAAAAAGGAAATTTTTGTCACGTGAAAAACGGTGGTTGGACGACTAAGTTAAACTATAGAAAATGAATGAGGTTCCAGCTTGTGAGATCCCACATAGGTTGAGGAGGAGAACGTAGCATTTTTTATAAGGGTGTGGAAATCTCATCTTAATAGACGCATTTTAGAAACCTTGAGGGGAAGTCCAAAAAGGACATCTGCTTGTAGTGAGCTTGAGTCGTTACACAACTCGTAGACATGTCTTTTTCTTACCTCTCGATTAATAAATCTACCTTTGCTATACATATATGGTTTTAGATGGGTACAATTAGTCGGTTGTTACCTCGACTTTCTTGAGATTGATTCTTGAGGAACAAAAGCGTTTGATAATTATTTATGTTTAGTAACGTTTTCGTTTCGGATTTTTTCGTATTCAAATAGATAAGACACGAGTTTTTAAGGTAAAAGAAGTCAGAGACTCTGATTTCCTAAACAAATCAGCCCCTTGATCTTGACTCCAAATGTGATTCTCAACAAGGATCATTAATATTCCTTTATCCATTTCCCATAATTAAACAACATCAATTATTAACCCACCATCTCTCTCTCTTCTTCCCCACTTCCCCCCTCTTATTTGCCTTCATTCAATCTTCTCTTTCTCTGTTCAACATTCTGCAGTTTGGGCTTGTGTAGAACCAACACCACTGAGTTATGAAACCATTTCTTGATCTTCAAAAGGAGCCTTCTTGTCTGGCAAATGATTCTGATATTAGTAGCCAAGTTGGTTCTATCCGTTGCGGGTCGAGGACTCCTCTTTCTCCTTCTCCTTCCCCTTCCCCTTCCGCTCAACCAGGATTCGAGTCGGTTTGCCTCGACTTGACTCTCAACTTTAATATTGTTGAAGATATCGGAACATGTCCGGATTCGACACGATTTTCATTGTCAAGCACAAGTGATCAGAGTAGTAATGAACCAACGGCTGTCCCAAGAGTGTTTTCTTGCAACTACTGTCAGCGCAAGTTCTTTAGTTCACAAGCTCTTGGCGGCCACCAGAATGCGCATAAGCGCGAGCGAACGATGGCGAAACGGGCGATGCGTATGGGCATTCTAGCTGAAAAATATGCTAGTCTAGCTTCTTTACAATTGAAAGGTTCATCATTCAAGTCCTTGGGGATCAAAGCACACTCTTCACTACTCCATGGAATCACTGCACCAATGATGCCTATTGACACCAGGAGCAGTGCTAGATTCGAACCGGAACCGGGATATATAGGCATGCCGATGTTCTTGGAGGATGATGAAGCAGACGTTATGTGGCCAGGTAGTTTTCGTCCAATGGTAGAAACTAGAAACACTCATGAACTAACTCAACCGAGTTTCAGATTGACCGATCTTTCAAGCATAAACTCAGTAGAGAAGACATCGATACAGGACGTAGAAAACTCGACCCCTGATCTCACACTTAAACTCTAAGAGGCTTATATGATGAGGGATCATCACTATTTCTGCTTTTTCTCTGTACAGTAAGTGCAAGTTTCAATCAAACACAACTTAACTTTCCCATTTTAAGTACTTATCATCAGTCTTTGCTTGCTATAAGTCATTTTCCTTGCTTAAGGAAGCTCCTTTACAAGCATTTTCTTGCTTTCTAGTCCTTCTGCCATAAACATCCCCTTACCTTATAGTAATGCAAGTGCTCTGCCATTTCGTTTGACCTTTGTTTTTACTTCACACATAGTAGGGCTCTTATATATGTAATTTTGGTATACTTTATGCGTGCGCTCGAAAATATAGGCCGATTATTGAGCCCCACACCACCTAAGGTGCAAGCCATTCGAGAAACAAGCTATTACAACGAGCGACTGAAACTTTTGGGAGCCGAATAGCAAAACTGTAGTATAGCTTTGAAGTAGTGAAAGAATGCTTTTTGAGAAAGTGCTTATGAACCTTTTGAATAGCAAATGGAAAAAAGCTTACTTTCAAAAGGTTCTTTCCTCAGAGAACTTTTACTTTCAAAAGCATTTTAAACTCAAATCTAAACTTATAATCATTAAGGTGACTAATAGTCCGATCTTTTGTTAGATGAATCTTATGCTTTTATTAAAAGAGTTACTAA